CTTTAGTACTCTGGGTGAGAGAAAAACTAAATACAAATTCTATTTTGACAGTTACAAGCTGCTTAAGAGTGGCTATTATATGTAAAAATAAGAAAATATTAGAAGCTCACTTGTTTCCACGAGGTTAAATCTGTTGGCTGGAACTTCCTGTCCAATTGTTAATTTAATCATTTCATTGCTATTATGTAGAAGGGGAAAAGAAATGTAGATCTGGTAGGTACCATCTCTATGGGCGGATTTAGACTCACTCACACAAACTTTCTTACTACTCAAATGCATATAGAATGGACTGAATTGATTGATCTTTGGTTATCATTCCTCTGGTTTTCTTTCTCATTTGAGAGTCATATTTTTGGTCATTGAACGTTGGTAACCTTATGTGCAGGTTCTGACCGCAGGCCAAAGAGTTCCCTTTAAGTATCATGGGAATAATTATATTTTTACTGTCAATCAAGCTGTTTTAGAGGGGCAGGAAGGATCTAATGCTCCTGAAAGGGGGCTGATTTCAAATGAGACATGTATTATCTTTGAGGCGTCAAATTCAAGTGGAATAAAGGTTATACATCACCACATGTTCTCACTTCTTTAGTTTCATCTTCTATTCAGATGACTTCTATTCAGAAGTCTTAATATTTTAAATATTAAAAGGTTAACTCCCCTTTTTGGTCCCTCAACTATTATACGGACCCCGACTTAGTCCTTCAACTCAAAAAATCCCTGACTTGGTCCCTACTGTTTACCATTTTTATCCCAATTTAGTCCCTTCGTTAAAAATCCAATGACATGTCCTGTTAATTAACTGAAGCATGATGATGTGTCAAAATAGAATGACACCTCGTATGCACACCTATAAAAAAAATGACATGGCAGTATGATTCGGATCCAAAAAAAAAAAAAAAAAGAGTGGGCCCCACCTCCTGCAAAGCTTGAACTCTTCTCCCCCTTTCTTCCCCATTCCTAGTTCTCAGTTCCTCATCTTACCTAGCCTTCTTCATCAATCAATTCCTCCATCATCATGAAACAACAAGATCCACAGAAAAAAAAATTTTTTTCTCTTTTTTTTTTACATTTTGCTCTTGGGTTCGTTCGAACCCAGGAAGCCAAGCGTCTTCCTGGGTTCGTCCTCCTGGGTTCGTTCGAACCCAGCGCTGGGTTCGACGAACCCAGGTCGACCGAACCCAAATCGCCTGGGTTCGACGAACCCAGGCGAACCCAGCTGGGTTCCTTGAGCCTGGGTTCGTTCGAACCCATCTACTGGGTTTTTCGAATGAACCTAGGCCTGGGTAGGCCTGGGTTCCAAGAAACCCAACGCCTGGGTTCCGAGGAACCCA